GTATTCTTGGACACACTTTTATTTTGTCCGGAAACTCTAAAAAAAATTGCTTTTTCTCAAAATTTCAAAGCTTGATTTTGTGGTACGATAAATAACCTTTCTTTTGGTACCAGCAATTTGACCTAATTGTTTAAAATTGTACACTCTGTATCAGTTGGCGCAAAAAACTGGTTTTTGAGATTTTCAAAAATCTCGGGGTATTATTGGACAGTTTTGTAAATCGATAAAAAATGAAAATTATTGCTGGAAAACGTTTATTTGTTAATGAAAAGGAAAGAATATATTATAATGAATAAAATAAAGTGAAAAATATCGATGAAAATTATTGAGAATCGCAGTTAAGGCACGTGAAAGTGTTCGGGTTTGCTCCGGCACAACTCAAGTGAACACCTCGATCACAAGCGATACAATGGGCTGTATTTCGGCGATTTTCTTCCTTGGGCATATTTTTCATGCAAATTATGCAGAAAACAATATCTTCCTCCGCGTGAGTTTCGTTCGGAGACGGTATTTTCTTTTGTGGAGTCTTTGATTTGCCACGGCCTTTTTTCTTCTTTGCTGCTGGTGTGTCGTCTTTCTCCGATAAACTTTGCCGCCTCTTCTCGGCCTTATCACGTTGGTCAGACACATTTTCTGGCGATGTCAAAACGACCGATTTCATTGGCTTACGGCCGCGATTTGACTTTTTGGCTGGCGTGCCAAGTTTCAACGGACCTGCCGATTTTAGTGCGTCGCGGAGCTCTTTGGCCGAAACGACAGAGCTTGTAGATGGTTCAGATGTCGTGACTTCTTCATGTGCTGCGGTTGCTATTGCATCGCCAGACACAATGATTCAACGCTGATTATCTTCATCTTCTTCATCATCGTCGCACTCATTTTCGCCGCTCAAATGCGAAGCGATGAAGTCGATTTTCGTGAAGACGTGCGGATCGAATGGGAAAATGCCTGTCGCTCTAAATCCAGCCTTGATGTTCTTTGGGGTCGCGGCAGTATCTAAGTATTGGTTGACAATGAGTGGCACATGATGCAAATCAAAAACCACGCCGAAGTTTGATTTCTTCCAAGCATCATGTTTTATGGTGAACATGGTCTTGAAAGGGCCAAATACCGAAACATCGAGCGGCTGCATACGGTGAGTGCAATGCGGTAGAAATGAGAGCATGGTAATGCCATGATCCAATGCCAATTCAAGGGTGTCAATCGACAAATGTGATGTGTGATTGTCGAGAAGCAGAAGAGTTGGTGAATCCTTATTCGCGCCGGCGTGTTTGATGAAATGCTCCATGTATTTGAGGAATTGATCGGATGTCATCCACCCAGAACCATTTGCGATACCAACTGCACCTTGTGTTGCATGCGTCATGTACACGTCTTTCATATTTTTTCGTGGAAAGAGGTAAAACGGCGGAATTGATTGCCCCGTCGCGCTGACAGACAATGCCAGAGTCACGTTTGTGCCTCTCTCGGCCGATGTCGATGTTCCCACCCGTTTCTTTCCTTTCGGTGCAATGATTTTCACAGCTTTCGTTGGGACAGTTGGGCATCCACATTCGTCCATGTTCCAAATTCGATGCGCTTCGAACGGTGTGGCATTGAGCACAGACGACAGATTACTGAAGAAGGCATCGACATTCTCTTTGTTGAAGGACTTCGCACGGTTCTGGCTCACTTGTTCCGGTGTTCGCAATGACAAATTTCGATGACGTTTAATGAAGCTCAATTGCCAATCCGAACTTGCCTCTCCTTTGGCATCCCACGAATCCGGATACGAAATGCCGATTTTTTTAGCATATTCGTATGCAAGTTTCCGCAGCTCCAACAAACTCAATCCATAGTTAATGTCGCTGGCCTTCAGAATGTATTTCATGAGCGCACCCTCTTGCTCTACATTGAAAATCTGAAATAAAAAAAA